GGCCGGCTTTGCTCGTGCCAAAACCCTAAGGCATGCCCAAGTTCGTGTAGGACGATTCCTTCTACTTCGCACCCTGGTGCGATGGAAACCGTCTGTGGTTTGCTGTCGCTCTGGCGACCGACGTACGAACAGCACCTAAAAGGCATTAAAAACAGGCCACATTAGATAATTCTGAAATCACTCGACTTTTTCTCCCAGCTACGCAGCACGTCAATTTACCACCCATCGAGCGACCACTGCACATCTCATCTTGAAAATGCGAAGCTTTAGAGAAACCGCTTGTAAAATACACTGCGTATTTCGAAACACCCTCTGTATTTGGCGTGGTAATTCGCGGCCAATGCCTTAAATATGTTTACTGCATGCAAACTATGTTGCCACCTAAACCTAATTCTTGGTGCATTATCTTCATTTTTCATGTTTCACGAAAACAGCTACGTAGGATATAACTTACGTAGAATATATGCCGAGTGCGAACGTACGAACATAAATGAGAAATGAATTTAACTTCCGGAAGATACCAGCAATTACCTTCGTCCAATCGACTTGATCTATTAGCAGTGCTACAATTAGAATACACTTCAAAATTCCGCTTTCAACAGCCGTCATCAACAAACAGTCAGTAAGATGGTTTGTAAGTAGACGAGTCTGTATGGGTATAGTTAATGACAGAGTTCAGTCGGAACGTTTGAATATAAACAGATATGGTCTCTGTTGCAAAACCACGTGTATTATCCGCTGACTCCGGATCCAACAAGATGCACATTTGTGTGAGTCATCAGTTATGTTGAAAACCACATAAAGTAATGTGTAGTGCAAACTCGTGAAGTAGATTCACACTGTTGCGACGTACTTCAGCAGGCCGATTCAGAAGCCTGTGTTAGCCTCTGTTAAAAACCTAGCCAATATTATTCACATAAAGTCTTTGTAATATTAGATGTCCGAAAGTAAATATTGTGTTGCCAATTCTTCGAAGATTTCCCATGATGCTTTTATATACTTTCCGTCAGAGCTTACGCAGCCCGGGTTTCACCAACTTGTAAACACTAACATTTTAGTTTCCCACAACGTTTATACCCAATTTAAAAAACTAATTCGTATGATAAAAGAGATTAAGACTATTAAAGGACTCATGTACAACGTAAATTCTGTACAGTTGCTCCATGCAGTCGTAAATAAGTTCTTTACCTGGGCGTTATATTCAATCTTGTGCCTAACACCTGCTTTTCTAACTATGATGCACAACCGTGCATTTTAGGAGACCGTGCCTCCGTCATCAGAACGGTTTACCAAGGTGAAAGTAGAAACTCGGCGATTACTTTAATCGGGATACATTAAACTGATGAGGTTTCGTCAATCTACCCGTTTGTTTTCTATTGTGCTAAATAAAACTCCTGTTGGAAATATATGAGATATGTTTGGCGAATTCTCTTCTCTGTTCCATTAGAACTTGCGTTAAAGACTAAACAGGAACACTTAGTCTGACTTTGCCAAGTACTAGTGACTTTCTCTTGTCTCTTGCCCATCGGGTAAAACTGTGCACTCACCCGCAATCCTCAACTCTGAAGACAAGGTACGATTTGTGATGGGGCTGCCAGTTTACGAATTTGAGACATGTGAGACTTTCCCATGTCCGCATTGCTTGCGCGATTACCGTCCTTGCAGAATCTAAGTAAAATCAAAGCAACATGATTAGACACATATGATGCATTATTTATACAACTGTCAACAAAAGCAAGTCTAACATGAAAATAACAATGAAGGGCTTCCTAATACCAAACCGTGAGGGTAACATGTTAGTCTGTTTGCAGTTTAAAAAATATTGTTTATTAATTTTTCTTATCATGACGTAGACATTGTCTCTGTTTAGACTGCTACACTATAAATTCCTGCAGTTTTTCATGTGGACAGTAGTACTAGTAATAACGGAGTCGGTTTTTATTTATTTCTAACCCCTTTCTACTGTTTACACATTGGAATTATGACTATTCACACAGTCAAAGTGTCTTTACTCCTAAAGTGGGATCCCTCTTTTTTTCCACCTTGCACGTGATTGGCATTGATGATTACCTTTACATACCTACAACTAGTTATCATCATAAACTCTATGGTCCAACCTCAATCTGGAGCAAGGATATATACATACATAAACAAAAAGACAACACGCACCGTGTTCTCTAGAGCGTGTTAATATTTGACAATGGCTTGCGGAAAATTTTAAACATAGGAGGGGGTTGCAGACGTGCAGACCACCGGCCGTACATCCTCCTTCCCACTCACCTGAACCTAGCGGCGAGACAGAGTCAGGGAAGTCGGAGATAGGCTAAAACGCAATGTCTGACAAGCTAAGAAGTACGTCTAGCGTGCGGCGTACGAACTGCTTCTTGACCATGCACCGGGATCCCGCAAAGTATGCCTCCGATTTTACTTGAGAGGCAACTACATGAAGGCCGCATTCCGAAATCATCTCCTTAGTTTGACTATAAGTTGTAAGAAGGAGTAAGATATACCGCCAGCTGGCAGCCGTCTAAGGCACGATCCTTACCTGGTTGTGGTAAATTTAGGCGCAGTGACTGGCCTGGCAGGTAGCCGCACGCTACCGCACCCTCATGTGCTGCAATAGTTGTAGTATCGGCGAAAACTAAGCAGCGCGAATAACGCTTATCGTGAGTTTTTCTGACCCCGTCTTCGTCCTCCGCATCCAGGCCGCTGTGCGTTATGGTGGAGGAGTGTGTCTGGTTAGATAATTGAGCGTCGACAAAGATAAGGGAAACCGGGGCGGCCATTTATACTTTATCAGTCGTCGGAAGGCGGCCTTTCCCAACCACACGTTTGCGGCACAGGGGGTTGGGTGAAGCTAACTAATGACGGTTGATAGCCCGAAATGACCAATACAGTCTCCCCTCTTTCTGTCGGGATTGACTTTCTGCAAATATCAATAGTCGCTGTGCAGCTGTCTATGACGGCTCTGCGTTGAGCATGTGATGTAGCATAATCGAGGATAGCGTATTAAGTACTTCCATATATATAAATATATAATGGTAGGGGGCGCTCACCGATCGTGCATACGGAACTCACTCGTTCCGTTGTGCCTTAAGAGTTCTCTCTCGAGCCCAACCAGCAGCCGCACAGCGGCGCATGCTATATAGGCAGAATGGTATTACCGACAAAGACAAGGGTGACTGGAATGGCCATTTCTGGCTTATTAGCCGTTGCCAGCCAGTCATACCCACTTCGGGCTTGGGTATGGCTGGCTGACGACGGCTAATAAGCCAGAAATGGCCATTCCAGTCACCCTTGTCTTTGTCGGTAATACCATCCTGCCTATATATATATATATATTATGGCAGGTGGGCGCACAACGGAACACGCATGTTCCGTAACCTGGTTGGTGAGCGCCCATCCGTCATCATTACTATTCCCAATCACAAATGACAGAAAAACAGGCCCGTTGCTCAATCGTAAGGTGCCAAACTCCACGACTAGACATTCCGTATTCGAATCTTAATTGTTCCACACTTGGGGTTGGGTATGACTGGCTGATGACGTCTAATAAACCAGAAGTGGCCATTCCGACCTCCCTAGTCTTTGTCAGTGTTATCTCATATATATATAGGCAGAATGATATTACCGACAAAGACAAGGGAGACTGGAATGGCCATTTCTGGCTTATTAGCCGTCGTCAGCCAGCCATACCCAAGCCCGAAGTGTGGAACACCCGAGCCTCGAACTCGCGACCTGTTGGTTTAGAAGTCAACGCCTCTACTCACCGGACCACGAGCCCGTTGTATATTTAACCACATGCCTGTTTGTATATATGGGTAGTCATGAATGTGGTTGTTTGTGTGGAACCATTTATTGATGGTTGAAGTCCGCCAAACGCTCAGGTTGCGGGATATGATCGTCCGGTGGCACCTTGGCTTTCAATATAAAACTTTTGCCGGCAGTCGCATAACAACCGTTATTGGACAAAATCCGAAATGACCATTTCTAGTTCATTGACAGCCCGTGACCTTACTCACTCAAAGGTTTTTAGAGTGAAGGCAAAATGAAAAGTCGCCTAATATAAGAATTATAAGAATACTCACTAATCAATTGCGTTACTTCTGCATCAATCATTTTGCCCTATTCTCAAATTTGAATTACGGCATAAATAATACGCGAAAGGCACAATGTACTCACTGGACATCTCGCTATTCATTATAAAAGGAACGATTCCAGATGGCCAAATGTTATGCCTTGTAGACATCACAGCCCGTCGGCTGCGATTTTTCCACTCTCCCGCGCCTGTGCTATAATTTCCACCTGATTTTTTCCACGGTGGCACCCACAACCCATGTTTAATCCCAGTTCTTCCTTGACGTTTTGCCGATGTCCGATGTGTCCCGTTGTGTCCTCGTCTTTGAAAACAGTTAAAAGGGAGAATTAAGGAGAGAGGAATACGGATACTATAATTATACTATTCTATAATTGGCCTACCCTGCTTAGACTACACAAAATAGGAGATTTTAAAGCAGCAGACAGGAGTACTGAGTGCGCTTTGCTAGCTAATCGGTATGCATCCCTCATGCAAGTCACCAACAATCCACCAATGTGTCCATGTTTTCTGATGGCCAATCCCGCACATAAATTACTAGGGGAAATATGACTTTCACAGTTTTTGTGCAATGTTATGTTTCGGTCACATTACGCCACGGTCGGCCAACTAGCACATGCTGGGACAGTGCTTTATGAGTAGGTTTTATCTGCCTAGCCGTTATGCGCATGAACTTATACAACATGGACTAGGACAAATCGTTTGATGGAGGACATTATTAGTGGTCATCTAAGGACACCATTCGGACCTCAAATATGTTGATTCTACATTGTTCAATTTGCATTGCGCGGTCTGGATGAAAACTGCCCACTTCCTAGTATTTACCTAAGAGGTGTACTGCGCTGAAACTTAAAGCAGTATTGACATTAGGTGTGTGTAGTCTTTTACCTTGGTGAACATTATGTAAAATATTTCTCCCACAGAAAATTCTTTGCCGAATTTAAAACAAGTGCATCCATTTATTCGTATCCTACTATTTTATCAAATTAATGCAATTATGTCATTTTCTGCTTGTGGAGTTAACGGGTTAGGCATTTCAAGCAGAAAATGTGACAGACTTCTTTGCTGGGCTCCAATAAAAAACACTTCGGTCCCTCGACGGCGTATCAGAGATAAATTGCGCATAGACAGCAGAGGAAAAAACTTGTTAAGAGGAAAGTGTGTACAGTCCAGCTACCATAAGACACCGCAAAACGGGATCTGCATACCTCGTTGAGTTACTCAAATCCCAATTCATGCTTTCCGCAAGATCATACTGGGAGGCCTCGACCTCCGAGTGTACGTCGAATTCATCGGAATCTTCATCATCCGTCCAGTCCGAGGAGGAGGAACTGCTCTCACCGTAGTCTTTTTGCGCTTGCATTGCCTTCATGTCAGATTCCGAAAGAGCAACATCTCCCATAAATCCGGCTAATGATGCATTTGTCCAAATCAACAGAGAAAGTTCAGGTCATAGATATATTTTGTTACATAGTATTGTTGATTTGAAAAAATTTAAGGTAGATGAAGCCTGCTCTATTTGTTAGGCACTTCAAGTCCGAGGCGCTGTATTCCAAATTCAGTAGGCTGTCATGCTATGTGATCTTATGTGTGACGGACGCGTGACTTTTGTATTCTTCTTCTTAGCTACGTTGACTGAATGCGTTTAAATCCAATGTCTACGATGAGAAACAATTATAGGTCATAGCAAATTGTGTATTTGGAGAATTGTCATTGCTTAATTTTTGGGCATGCGTCAAATCCAAAAACATTCTATTTCAGACGGATAGTCCGTTTAGGTAGACGTAGGAATGTTGTAACTAGCCAGTAACAGGCGTTTGTATTGAAGTGCGGTGTGGTGGGTCTGTAGATGGGGTAAGTTGGGATTTCAGAGGACTATTGCTACCTAGTTAAAAAAGCACCCGTAAAAGTGGAGGTTGAAATCTATTTTTGCCTTCCAAACAGGACACCAAAAATCTGACAGACCTTACGCCACCTACACTTATCCGAGACATTGGGAGCGACCATTGTAAATCCCGAAGTTTCGCCGACTATTTGCCGAATGCAAATTTTCGAGCCCTACGTTCAGAACACGCCACAAATTCACCGCAAAGCTAAACAATCCGTTTGACAACGGACCACTACCCAGGACACCTATTCTCGCCTTTGCAATCTCCTCTTCCCTCAGAATAATCCGTCTCTTCCGACTGATCCATCTAATTATCCAGTATTTTACCCTGCCAACTGGTTCCACTGTCAACCAACTATCATGTACATCAACTGCAGCCTCAAAACCACCATTGACGCATGTCTGCCTAAAACAATTGACTGGGCTTATTAGAAGAAAATAACTACGCCTGCTTCGATTCTCTCTGTATCTACCCGCTTGACAGACCAACGCTCGCACTGTGTTAAGCATTTTGCCTTGCGCTGTACTGTAGACCGGCGGAAAGACCTGGGAGGCCCTGGGATGTTGACGCTTCGATTACTTCTGTTAATTTGGAATACATCCACTAAATAAGTATGTCCACAAGTATACCAATTCAGACAACAGTATTTTGCGAATATTACTGTTAGTTTGTTTCCGTCGGCGACGAGGTGAATTGTGGTTGATACAGTCTACTAATAATAATGCATCTTGCTGTAGCACTAGTTGCTGTTCTCGCTGTGTTCTCGCGCATATTGCGAGTCTATCAAAAAACTACATCATCTTGTAAAACCAGACAGAATCGACCACTGGACATTGCCTCGTCCATTCCATTCAGCACTCCAGTGTCCTCCTTATTATTCCATGCAGTTAATAAGGTTTACTCCTCTAGCGCACCTCATCCAACCTGCAAGTTCTTACTCATATTAGTATAGCACATCGTCTGAAATATTTGGGAGGACCCGCATTCGTTTAATATTTTTGAGTATTTCCGATAGAGTATTTTTACAAAAACAGCAGCTCAGGTGCAGCAGTCACACCGCATAAGGCCCATAAATGTGGACATGTCCTTAAACACATCTTTTAATAAGTGCTTTTATGGATATCAATGCTTCTCTTGACACACCTGCAAATAGCTCAGCGTCCTCCCTGGCATCCGAATATACTTAGGCAAGGACAAGGTTTGAGCACAACCAACACTCTGACAAAATAAGCTACAAGGCCACCACCGATGCTGTTGACGTTTCTAAAAGTTGATCAGTTAAGTTGTTTAAATCTGTCAAAACATACTTTAACTGAGTAGGACTGGTGGACACCAGGTGGATTCTACATTAATCTCTTAGGCCATCCTGCTTAGGCAGTCAGCTTACTGTATTAGAATTGGTGGATTTCATACGCTGCAGTATACTGGGCGGGCATCCTAACCCAAACGTGACTAAACTCACGGCTGCCGGTCGTGGCCTCATAGTTTAGGCGGTGAGGGCGTTGGTCGTATTCAAATCTAGCCCTTGCTGCTATGTGTCTGAACATCTCCAAGGTCACCACGTCGAATAAACATATATGTTTGCTAAGTATATAAGTAAATGACAATACAATCAGCATTCAATCAAAAAATAATAAGTGATGTCATAACAAAATTGCCTATATCCTTCCAAGTCAAAAAATACTTACCAGCTTCGGAGAGACTGATGTAAGGCGTATGGTGATATCTGCCTTCCACCGTTTCCTCTGCATACTGGGGAGCATGCAGCGCGAATGAGCCCATTGCCTTTCCGTTGGAGTAGCTCACATTTTGGGTTATGTTAAGCGTGCGATTGCTCGTTGGAAGACCGTACAGCACAGGAAGGTTGAAGAACAAGACCGCACAGACAGTCAACTCTGCAATGTCGAAAGTGACTGCACCCGATAGTGCGGTCTTCTGAGATTTGAAAAAGTGGAACATTTCGAGGCATGCTGAGGTCTGCATACTAGTGGTTTATATACTGAGAACGGGTGTTGAGGGTAATTAATCGGTCCCAAGGCCCTTGCGCTAACCAATCACACAAGCACTTGTCGACGACTACTTGCGCATCATTGGTTATTTGTCGCACGGAGGAGCTCACAATGGACGGGTCAGCACTGTTCGTCCTGCGTTAAAATTTACTTTGTCGCTAGCATTATATGGATAAAATTACTTTTTGAAAAAGTAGGAAATTCGGAATTTCGATGTTTTATACGACCGCGTAAAGCAGTCGAACTACGGTAATAAAAGCCAGAGTTCCTGCCCACTCGCCATCTTAACCTTACGCACTAATTTTCTAGCATATCGTGAAACAACATGAACGCACTTACGGAAGAAGGCCTTGTCAAGTGTAATTTGGTATCATTGCTGGTATGTCTAGAGAAAGCGTAAAGAGCAGTTTTAATGGTGGATGGGTTGTGTGAGGTAAATGTCTTTTAAAAGCTTTAACATGTGGACTGACCATCATTAGAAATGCAATCGTGGCCTAGTCTTTGGAGAAAGATCGATTCGCAAAACGCAATAAACAATGACGGAGAGGCTTTCATGCCACAGCGTCTAGCATATTTCTGTCTAATGGATAACCAAAATGAGTTGTTGACGAAGGGGAGGCGAGAAACTGACAGTTGACGGGCCCGTTTTCAGCAATCAGCAGTTGAACTACCTTTTTTCCCCACAGTGTGAAATGAGATGCTAAAGCATCTATACCTTACCACAATAAGGTAGCCATCTGTGTGCGATAGCGAAAAAAATTAATTTTTACGGTATGTACAAAAATTTGCAAATATTCCGTAGTTAACCAAGTGTTGTAAAAGATCCCCTGGTCCGGTACATCGAAATCACCTTCCTTGACGCAGGATATAAAGGAAAATTCGCTCGAAGTCCAGATGCTAGAATATCCAAATACTTATAATGGTAACTCCTACATTTCGACGGATGGATCCTAATTGCATCGAAAAGTCTGGTCTTGACTAAAGTAAACAGTGCAGACTGCCGACAAGTCAACGTTAGTTTTGCGAGCTGCCATTCATTCACTGGGGGCATACTGATGTGCAGACTTGTCTACCAAAAATATCAACCAATTTTATGAGCTTAAACGCCCGCTCCGGTCATCTCTTTGGTGCGACATCTGCAGGGTAATTACCACTAAAACACATGTCTATTTTTTGTAAGCCTCGAATACTCCCGCCCAAAATCTGTCGGGAGTATAACCTAGAAGTCTCGGCAAAAGCTGTTTCATAATCAACCCCGGCTCACTGATGCCTGCTGTCCGACACTAGTAAGACAGTGGTGTCATAAATAAACGGTTTGGAAATGCATACTCCTACTAATCTAAATAACTTACGATTGTCGATATGTTACGTCTTTTAAAACACTTCCTGGTAATCAGTGTTAACTATCAAACAGTAAGCACAAGTAAGAGTTCCTTATCTGCTGGGAAATCGTTTGCAATGTAGACTGCTGATGTGCATCTGTTCGGCCATCATCATCCACATCTTAGTAGGTTGCCCCGCGTTAGTATTTAGGAGGTTTGGCCAAATACACGTGTCCCGACCGCGTCTTCCATATCCAAGATAAATTACTGTGCACGCAATTAACGGTGAAAGGATAAATAATTTCTTGAGGAAGTGTAAATTCCAACGTTCATAACTCGCGTCAGGCTTGAAGAAACATGTTATCTACTGTGGTGCATAGAGGTGTTATGAAAATTATGAGACTGCGCTACTTCTAATAAGGTAAAATATCCCTTTCCGTGTGTTGAGCATTTCCGTGTATGAATCTTCTGTCTAAAACAATTACATTTCTCTTAGCCTAACGGACGGGTAAGGAATGGTTGCTGCTAACAAGTCCTTTTCTGTTAGGCGTACGCAATGTGTTGTGGTCCGACGGGTAAAATATAATCCGCAATTAATGTGAGTTTCATTTTATATTATTGATGAAGTAACCGGCGTGGACTGATCTCGTCCTATCCTGTCTCTGCTTCTAAGCAAAGAGGCCAGTAAAACTGAAATTATCTACTGATATTCGTGGTAAGAGGTGTATATGACAACCCTATCGGCGAGCGACTCCAAGGTCATTGTCGAACACTAAAAGAAATTGGGTTGTAAATGCACTGCTTGGTCGAAAACTGAGGTGCACATTTTGAAATGGCAAAAGCTTAAGTTAGCCTGTGAAACCTGATTCAATGCTACGTATCTATGCAATGCTTTCTTGGGCGCCTCGTTATCATGTGATTAACAGATAATGCCGGCACTTTCGGCTGGAATGACTTTGTTGCTTCAGACTGTCCTTGGTAGATGGATTACGTTAAGGTGCACGGGAACGTGTTATTTAAGTTCACCAAAGACCAAGTATTGACGCCACGCAGTTCTGAATCAAAAAATAAGTTTCCCTGTCGGTAAGTATCTTCATTCTTAAGGAAAAGGTATAAGGCTGAGTTATATATTATGCTGTCGCGTTCGGCCTGAATGACTTATCTGTCGAAAATAGCCTGACA